CACAGAGTACCCCACTGCCACACAGCCCCTCCTACTGCCTCAATTTCCTCACTGAAGCACCCAAAGGTCCCCCTGGGGGAAGCCAAGTTGCCCTAGCATTTGGCTGCATTTCAACACAGGGCCCATCCCAGCTCCCTTGTGCCACAGCTGGGAGCCTGCAGGGTGCAGGGCTACAAGACCACCATCCCTGACTCCAAAAGCAGGTGGCTCACCCCAAACCCCTCCAGCACCCTCATGCTCACAGGGGCACAGAGACCTCTCTGGGGCAAGCAGGAGGTGGCCACCCTGCCAGCACTACATGCCCCTGCTTGCCCCAAGTTCCCAGACATGTTGCAAGAGTTAATTTAGTCTCCTGTCTGCCCTAATTGGCAGGGAGAGGAGCGTGGCTAAGGAGGGTGACCGAAGTTCTGGAGCTGGGCGGTGGCGGAGAACTGCGTGCCACCTGCATGGCCCGGCCCTACCACACTCTTGACCCTCTAGCCCATGAAACCATTGTCCTGGGCCAGCACCAGATGGCTCTGGAGCTGGGACAGCCCCTGATGAGGAGCGCAGAAAGGGACACTGAGGCAGGAGGTGGCAAGGAGATGGAGCTTTACCTTCACTGCATACTCCTTGTTGGTGATGAGGTTCACGCAGGACTGGACTCTGGCGTGGGCCCCTTCTCCCAGCACCTCCTCCTGCAGCTGGTAAACATCTGGCAGGGGAGAGGTCACCTGAGCCATCAGCCCCACCACAAGGGACATTACCACTGTCCCTGAGCCTAGGGACACTGGGAGGGCCCCAGCTCTACCCCATGCTGGGGCTACCCTTGGGTCTCTGAGCAGCACCACTAACCTTCGAACCTGCCAGAAAAGCTGTCGGTGGCTCTGCAGCGCTTCTTCTTCTTGTTCCTTTTCTTGGCATCGGGGATGTCAATAGGTTGACTTGAAGGCATGTCTGCACCACAGCAAAGTCACCAGCATCAGACACCCCATATGCTCTCTGCTCCCCCAGCACTGCCACCCCAGGACAGCCCCACAAAGTCTTTGGGGGATGGCAATGGGCCAACATCCCAAGGGCTGGAATGGGAGGAGACCACTGGGATGGTGCCCCATGGAGGCCACCTGCAGCGTTGACAGCTCACCAGGACGGGGTGGGCACTCAAAGTTGAAGACGGGCTCCAGGTGGTTGGACTGGTTGAACTCCAGGTCAAAGGGGTTTTGTCCCTGTGGGAGACAAAACCAGGAGTGACATGGCAGCCACTGGATCAGCCACCACTGGCTGCCCACCCTAAGCCCAGCACAGACACAGAACCTGCCACACTCTTCCTCTTGGCACACACTCTTCTCATCTCCTGTGGGAGTGCAAGACCTCAGCTCATGGGGGGATGCTGCAGAGGCCAAGGCAGAGCCACGGGAGGAAGGAGGAGGAGATAGGATTTGACCACATCTCCTGCTGGGGACGGTGCTGTGGAGTCATGCTTCCACGCTGCACCCCCAAGCCAGGACACAGCGAATGAGAGGGACCAGGGCCACCTGCACCAACCCAGTCCCAAATCTCCACCCAGACCTGAACTACAGTGAGGTGGGAGGAAGACAAGCCACAGGGCATGACAGGTTCCAGAGTCACCGCTCCATGTCCTCCCAGTTCCCTGCAAGGTCATGGTGGCCAGATCCCACTCAGCCCTGCTCCAGCAGACGCTGTGCCCACCGGGCTGTCGGACACCTGTGACGCAGGAGGATCAGGCCTCACCCCAAACCCTCCTGCAGCCCAGCGCTGACGAGGGCATGGGACTCTTGGCCACTCGCTCCCTGGGGCCTCCCCACAGGACAGGGCAGCACAGGGGGCAAAAGGGCCCTGTGCTCCCCATGATTATGAAATATGTTTGGGCGGCTCCAGCAGCATTCCCAAACCCGCCCCGTGCCCGTGTCGGGCCAGCTGCCAG